ACCAACTTCATTCTTAATCTTCTGCAAAAATGAGCATTTATTTTGTGCTTCTATAATTCGATCTCTAAGAGTAGGTCGAATTATTAAAGGTGTTAGACGAGCAGTGACTTATCCTGGTGTGGTAACCACTTCGATCTGCAACTTTTCCAAGTCCTTGACTAACTCCACTTTAGAGGTGGGTAGTGACGTCAATTGTCCCATTGATTTTCTATTTAGAGCGTCGGCCATAACATTAGCCTTACCCGGGTGGTAGTGAATAGTGCAGTCGTAATCGTTCACCAATTCCAACCATCGTCTTTGTCGCATATTCAATTCCTTCTGTGTGAAGAAATACTTGAGACTTTTGTGATCTGTGTAGATATCACACTTCCGTCCATACAAGTAGTGTCGCCATATCTTCAAAGCGTGTACTACCGCTGCAAGTTCTAAATCATGTGTCGGGTAGTTCTGCTCATGTTTCTTCAATTATCTTGAAGTATAGGCTATCACTTTTCCATTCTGCATTAGTACACATCCCAATCCTCGCTTGGATGCGTCGCTGTATATAACAAACCCTTCCGTACCTTCATGTATTGTTAATACAGGTGCTGATATCAACTTCTGCTTAAGTTCTTGGAAACTTTGTTCGCATTTTTCCGTCCATTGCAATTTTACTCCCTTCCTTGTAAGCTGCGTCATTGGTCCAGCTATTTTGGAGAATCCTTCTATGAATCTCCTATAATATCCAGCCAATCCTAGAAAACTCCGTACTTCGCCAGCATTTGTTGGTGTTTTCCAGTTGGTTACTGCTTCTACTTTTGCTGGATCTACTTCAATCCCTTGGGCAGTAACTACATGTCCAAGAAATTCAACTCGTTCAAGCCAAAACTCGCACTTCTTGAATTTGGCATACAGCTTCTCCTTGCGTAATACCTCTAAGGCTATTTTCAAGTGCTCTTCATGTTGCTCCTTACTCTTGGAATATATCAGAATGTCATCGATGAAGACTATGACAAACTTATCCAAATATTGATGAAACACTCGATTTATCAGGTCCATGAACACTGCAGGTGCATTGGTTAGCCCAAACAGCATCACCGAAAACTTGTAGTGTCCATATCGAGTTCTAAAAACTATCTTAGGTATATCCTTTGTCTCTACTTTTAGTTGATGGTATCCCGATCGTAAGTCGATCTTGAAAAATACCTTAGCTCCTTTCAATTGATCTAACAGATCCTCGATCCTCGGGAGTGGGTACTTATTCTTGATGGTTAATCGATTTATCTCCCTATAATCGATGCTCATCGCCATGCTTACATCTTTCTTCTTTACAAACAACACTGGCGCACCCCATGGAGATACGCTTGGTCGTATGAAGCCCATATCTAGGAGTTTTTGCAATTGCTTCTTTAATTCTTGTAGTTCCTTTGGGGCCATTCGGTATGGGGCCTTAGATGCTGGTGCCGCCTCGGGAATTAGGTCTATGGTGAATTCCACTTGTCTATCGGGTGGAATATTAGATAGATCTTCTGGAAACACATCTACGAATTCCCGTACTACTGGTACATCTTCAACCCTTATCGTCTCTTGTCTCCCTCCTGAGATACTTACTAGATATCCTTGACATGTTTATTTCCTCAACATCTTCTCAGCTTGTAAAGTCGATACTAGTCGAATAACGGGTTTCGTCTTCATTCCAAGGAACGAAAATGGTTCCTCTCCTGGTTTTTGAAATGATACTTCCATTTCCTTACATCGGATGGTGGCGTAATTACAACTTAACCAATTCATACCTAGTATTACATCAAAATCATTCATTTCTATCATGTATAGGTTCGCTTCCATTGGTTTTCCCTCAACTTCGATACTTACTGACTTGGCTATTCTATCAGTATTCAAAGGGTTGCCCGAAGGAATGCTAACTTCTAATATACCTTCCGACTTATCACAGGTAATACTAGATTTAGCCATAAAAGTTGTTGAAGCAAAGGAGTGTGTAGCTCCTGAATCAAACAATACATAAGCATGTGTATTGGCTATCAGTAGAGTACCTGCTATGACATTAGAGTTTTCCTCTGCATCCTGTTGAGTCAATGCAAAAACTCGTGCTTTCCCTTTCTGGTTCTGGTCGCTGCTATCATCCTTCTTCTGGGCATGTGTGGGACAACCCCTAATGATATGTCCTGGCATGCCATATCGAAAACAGACATTTTTCCCTTGTAAGCACTCGCCACGATGTGTCCTTCCACACTTAGAACAGGGCGCAATAATCGGCATAATGCTTTTGCTGGCATTAGCTCCGCCATTAGCTTTCTTGTCCTGCCACTTGCCTTTTCCCTTGTCCTGGCCATTCCATTTCCTTTTTCCCATGTTACCATTGTCCGGTTGATTGAACAGTTGACCATGTTGTTCGGCGCTAGTCTTCTGGTATCAAATAGCATGAGCTCTTTCCAGAATTTCACGGTATGTGGTGGAGAGATGGGACATAAGTATCATGCTTATATCCGAGTTCAGCCCTTGTTCAGACCTTCGTACCTTCTTATCCTCTGTATCCACTAGATGTGGAGCATACCTTAAAAGTTGATCAAACTTCCTCTCATACTCAGTCAGGGACATAGTCTTTTGCTTGAGTTGGAGGAATTCACTTTCTTTGTGATCCCTCAAGGACTGGGGAAAGTACTTGTCCATTACTTCCCCTTTGAATTGCTCCCAAGTCAATTCTGCTTGTTGCTCAGGGGTTCTTGTCCTTGACATTGAGTCCCACCAGTGACTTGCATCACTGGAGAACATGAACTCAGCACACTGGACTTTCTGAGCGTCCGTGCACCCTATCAACCGGAATATACACTCCAACTTGTGAAGCCACTCCTTGGCTGCAAGTGGATCAGCTGCTCCGTTGAAGGTAGGGGGCTTGTGCCTTCAAAATTGCTCGACCACTGAAGTATGGTTTGGAACATTAGGAACTAGTGGTAGGAGTTGAGCTTGGTTCGGGTTTTGCCTGCCTAGGTCTTGAACCGCTTGGAGGAGGTCTCTTATCAAGTTTTGGTTTGCGCGGGCCATTTCCTTTAGACAAAACATATGGTTCTTATTAGTTTCATTCTTCGAATACTAAAGCAAAGAAGATAGTATTTTATTTCTTGACATAAGGGAAGCTATTACAAGGATTTAATCTAATCCCTATAAGTTCTACGGATCTTCTTTGGTGGAGCTTCATCTTCGGAAGAGTCTTCCGCCTCAGGTCTGGACTCTATGTCCATCTCAACCTGTGGCTCAAGCTCAGGATCATTCTCTAAATCATCCTCGGGTTCTTCTTCGGGATCTTCTTCCTCAGCCAAAGGTTCCTCCTCAGGCTCCTTATGGATTACATCATCCCACAAATCAATCAGGGCATGGCAATACCTCTCAAACTCGAACAGGTTTGGGTTGCCTTCTAACATTTCATCTCTAACCGTGACTCCCATATCTCCCCATTGATTTGGGAGGGAGTGTGTGAGGTTATTTATGGTCTCAATATGCGTGATCTCCATTCCAGCATTAACCGTCGTTATGCATCTCTCATAGATGTCATACACATATTCGCTAAGCGGTCGGGTTGGATCAGTTACATAGTTTTCATAGGAATGAATACCAATTCTACGGTTCAATACTTCTCTATATGCCCTAGCCGTTCTAGGAGCCATATATGTTGCATTTTCACATACATCATACTTTTTCTTTGCTTAAAGAAAACATGCAAATATTTAAACTTTCATATCATGCAATTCCCTTTAAGCCCTTAACTTTTGCCCAAGTCCATTACATATCTTTAAATAACACATCTCTAAATCATATCAAAGTATCATAACATAAACATAATCATTAACTTTAAACATGAACATACCTGGGCCATAGGATGAGATTGATGGATTGATGCACGATGTCATGGAATACCTTAAACTTTTCATTTTCCTTTTGTTTTTAAAAAAAAGCATACTTGGTCTATAGGACCGGCTAAACCTTGCTCTGATACCACACTATAACGCCCCGACCCCTAGTGGATCGGAACGCTACTTACTTTATTTAGCTTAATCGGTGGTTTAGTAACAAACTACAATCACTGGCTCTGATACCATATTGAATGAGAGAGAATATTGTAGAAATAATTCTCATTAATTCATCTCATAGGTACATAGTAGTATTCATATTTACAGCAAGGAAAATAAAGTAGGAAGGAAGAATAAAGTAAGAAAGGAAAAATTATATACTGACTTTAAGGAAACTAAATCTACTAGAGTTTGGCAGATTTGGAAGCTTTCCGAAAGATTGATCCTTGATTTTACAATTACCCTTAATCATATTGTCGGTGCTTGAACGTTTTCGTCTCGTGTCATACATCATCTCTCACGTCCATTATCATCGTGATTTTATGACCATATTTACTGTCAAAATGTGCCGGAATTCCCTCATTTGTATACGAGTGGGTCTGATATTTGTTCTCTGCATGGCCATTACAGAAAACGGAGTTACAAAAAATATAGGATATGTTGATTCATGGGTTCAAATTATTTTGCACTGTTGAAAATTTTCTTATGTTTTTTCTGCTGGAAATGTTGCTCTTGAGCATCCATGAGTGCAATAGTTATGGTATTTGGTATTTTCTATATTAATCTTGTTCACTTTCCATAAGGAGTCAATTAAAAAGTGCAAAACAGTAGTCGATATGGTTTTCTTGATTATATGCCTTTATTTTAACAAAGAAACTTAAAAAGATGAACAGGATTCTGTTTATTTATTATAGGTGTCTTTGTCTTATAAACCAGAGCTTGTGGTAGTGCTCTCATCTGTGCTTATGTCATGTACATACACTATGCAACCTAATCTACCTTTAAAAATCATACCTAACTTCACTGTAACACAATGCTTTTAGTTTGAAAATAGAAAAACCACGGTTAAAAATTCTAAGTTGCAGTTATAAATATTTTTATTTCCTTTTCTTTTATGTTCACTGTTTGTCTACTTTCTGGTTTCTGTATTTTTTATAGGCATTATGACAAGAAGGCCTCTAGTATTGCAGCTGCACCAGATAGAGCCAGGGCAAGAAGATTATGCACAGTTTCTTCATACTGGAAAGAGAAAATTTGTTGATTTTTGTAAGTTGTAGAGAATATTCAATTTTGTATATTTGGAAAGAGGTTCCATTGGATAAAATATTGTATTTTATATTGTCTTACCTCCATGTTCCACCATTCATTGTTTCCGATTGGATGTCAATGATATTTCCTTTTGTTTTATGGCAGCATATTCAGAACAATGCTTCCTTTACATAGTCAATTTTTTTTTCTTCCCTTTCTCAAAATAATTTTTTTACGAATTTTTGATTTATTTCTTTATGGTCATATGAAGCTATGGTACGTTCAGAGATTCAAGAAGAAACAAACAGGGTCACTGGGAAGACGAACCAAATTTCTCCTCTTCCTATTAATCTAAGTATTTATTCTGAAAATGGTATGTTTTCTACCTTTATTAATGTCCAATCCATGTAGAAATAAGACTAAACAAGTAGTTAACTATAGACGTGCAACCATTCCGTAGTATTAAAGAAAGTTGTCCTAGTGTTTCAAGTTTTGTCTTTTCTCTTGATAGAAGCTGTGAGACATGTTCCTTTCATCGACCTTAAGCTCAATGCTTGTTGGGTTCTAACCGATGCTGTTCTTACATTTTTATTGGCATTTTCATGTATTTCCTGCTTCATATTTTCGCTGATGTCTAGTGGTTTGTCATTTTTGACAGTCGTCAATTTGACTTTGGTGGATTTACCTGGTTTAACAAAGGTTGCTGTGGGTATGTTTCTCCATTTCATCATATAGATTGATTTAACTCTGTTACGTGTTATGATATTTGCTTAAACCTTTTTTGATTATTAACAGAGGGCCAGCAAGAGAATATCATTCAAGAAATTGAAAACCTGGTTCGTTCATACGTGGAGAAGGTATTTATAAGTACTATGTACTACATTCACAAGTAAAAACAACTTTCAACCGCATATGTAAACATGTGCAAGTGCACCATGGACTAGACCTGCTATTAACTGTTCCATGTAAAAGTTTTTCCCTACATCTAGTGCTAAGAAGCTCTAGGAGATCTCACTTCAAGCTTCTTTTGGATGCCAACTTGTAAAATTTCATCTTCGGCATGGTGTATGAATTAGACTAAAAGGTTGCTGTGATAGAGTAATGCACTTCTCATTCTTCTATTCAGCTCATCTCATCCGCAAGAAATATTGATCGGTTTTGGAGAAAAGTAACTATTCTATGTATTTCAAAGTTCGGTAACGGTTATATGGTTTTGATTTGTAGCCAACTTGCGTCATTTTAGCCATAACTCCAGCCAATCAAGATGTTGCAACCTCTGATGCCATTAAGTTAGCTCGAGAAGTTGATCCAACTGGTATTTCTCCAGAAGAATTTATGCTGGCCCAATATATTATGTTGAGTTATGATAGTATTGTGGCACAACATCATTTGATATCATTCTCTTTCTAGGCGAACGGACATTTGGTGTGTTGACGAAGCTTGATTTGATGGACTGCGGTACAAACGCTTTGGAGGTAAGTTCTCCAACTTTGTCTCTGAAAATTATGCTTAGAAAAATGGATTAGGTTCTGTGGTGGAATGTTTAGCAAAGGTTGGAGAACAAGAGTGAATCATGACACCTATATACAGTCACATAATGGCGTATCTAATATGTTTTAATGTTGAAGGTTCTTGAGGGAAGATCTTTCCGGATGAAACATCCCTGGATAGGAATTGTGAACCGTTCTCAGGCTGACATTAACAGAAATGTTGATATGATTGCTGCAAGGCGCCAGGAGCATGAATTCTTTGCCACAAGCCCTGACTACAGCCACTTAGCAAACAGAATGGGTTCTAATTATTTAGCCAAATCTCTTTCAAAGGTAAAGTTACCACTCGCTTATGATCAGAGTTGACATATTTTTTAATTTTTCATTTCCTGGTTTTCATTTTTTAAGTATAATTACTTTTGCTTCTAGCACCTTGAATCAGTAATTAAGGCTCGCATACCTGCTATTGTGTCTTTGATCGACAAAAGCATTGATAAACTTGAAGCGGAGCTGAAACACCTCGGCAGTCCAGTTGATATTGATGCAGGGGTTAGAATTCTTAACTATCTTCATTCTATGGCTTTGGTTGATGTGCACCAAACTTCGTTAGGGTGCTCATGGATTCTTTACTATTTGACTAAACAGGCACAGTTATATACCATTTTGGAGCTCTGCCGCGCATTTGATCGGATATTTAAGGAGCATCTTGATGGAGGGTAATTATCCGTATTTAAACCCTGTTTGGCTTTCATTATTTCATATTATAATTTTTCTCTCTTATTTTCAACTATACAATCTTTCATAAAATAATATTACACGTAAATTAAAAACTTTTATTTCTTTTTCAACCACATTATCCAAAAAATCCTATTCCAAAAATTATAATACCACATAATGGTTGTTGCTCTTTGTGACGCTGCCTTATCAGGATACTCTTTAGTCCTTGTTTGACAATTATTCTTTCAAAAATTTTTCTTCTCATAATTATTTTCAATCACATTCTTATAATAAAATATTTTTCACTTGAACCCAGACATTTTTTTACTTTTGAAATATTCATTCTTTACAAATTTACCATTCAATAACCCATTTTACAGAAAAATGGCTGTCAAACAAGAGCTTAGTTCCTATTAAAATTATAATTCGTTTTTTTCTTTTTTCTTATTAACCATACATTTTCAAATAAAATAATACTATACGTAATTCCAAAAGCTTTTCTTCTTTTTTTTTTTTTAAGCCTAGTTTGGCTCCTATTATTTGAAATTTTAATAACCGGAATAGTTTTTTCTTGAAGAATGTATGTTTAGCTCCTGTTTGGCCCCATTAAAATTATAATTCATTTTTTTT